CAGATGACATCTGGGCTTTAGAGATCTGTTGTCCCCTTTTTTTGTTCCTCCCCATAGCTCTGTTCCCTTGACTTTTCTGATGCCAGGGAACAGCAGGACAGACGAGGAAAGTCAGGGAGGGAGTTCTGAATAGAAGACAATAATATTCAGGATCAGCCTTCCCTCCCGCTGGATGTTAAAGTTATATCTGCACCATCACCACAACATGAGGCTGATCCACATTTTGGAAATTCAACAAAGGTTGACCCACCTGAATCTTATCAGACCTTTCTGTACACCACTCTTCCCAACACAACAGAGGTGTATTTCTGTGGGGTATTATCTCCACAGTGGCATATTACATGACGCCAAGCAACAACATCACTGACATCATTGAAGTGACTTTTCAGATGTTGAATCCAGCTCTGTGTTATCACTGAGTCAAATCCGGTGCTTGATGGCTCAGAGGCAGCCGTGGCATTATCTGGTCATCTGTTTGGTCTCTCACAGTGAGAGCTGTCGGACACTTACTGCATTGTTGGAGCAGAGACACTCAAAAGTTGGACTGTGAGAGGCAGACGTTTGGCATGCCTAGAAACTGGCTCACAGGCATCCTTCTGAAGACCTGGCCGCTTTTAAATAGTACACCCAGTCCTTTGCAGACATGATGAACTGACATTAATTTAATGCCTAGGAACCTAGGATTTGTCACAAACTAGGTTACAGAGTTTAGCTCTTTGAGTGATGCATCACATCATATTCTGACCTTGATGAGCTCCCAGTTCTCATGTTGTCAGACTTTCTCGTGCAGTAACTAAATGTAGATGAGACTCAAAGTGTGAAACAGTCACTGTCAACCACGGGCGCCTTCTTTAGAGAAGCAGAGGGGAGAGGCAGCAACACTGCTCTCTGTCGCCTCCATGCGGTCACAACAGGAGTCCTGTTCAGAGCTGCATTACACAGTGTCAACCAGCAGATGGCAGGATGCAACAGTGTATACTGGACTGCTCATGTGTGCAATAGTCAGTCTATTCTACTGAGAATTACTATGCAAACAAAACGCCCATTTGCAAACATGAACAATAAATAGGCCCTCGAATATGAAGCTGTGACAATTTATTATAATGCGTTAATATATGGAAATAGTTAGTGCTGGAATAAGTACTCAGATGTTTTAGTTTAGTTAAATAAAAGTACAAATATATAAAATTGTAAAAATAATCAATTATAGAACTGCATTGAAGGTCCACTGTGTAGAATTTAGGAGGATATTTTGGCAGAAATGGAATATAACATAAAGACTATGTTTTCATTAGTTATTAATCACCTGAAAATAAGAAATGTTGTTTTTTCGTTACCTGCAAATGAGCCATTTATATCTACATACAGAGCAGGTCCTCTTACATAGACTCCACTGTGTTGTTTAGCTCAGAATGGACAGATCAAACAGGCTCTGGGACCATTCCTATTTTGGCATCGGCCACCATAGTTCTCCTACATGCTTGGCACACAGGAGAAGGTTAAGTTAACCTCAAGGCTACATGCTGCTAAATCCAACACACTAAACCTTTAAATACTCCTGTGACTGATGTGTCATTTAATAAGCCATTATTAGTTTTATACTGAGTAGTAATATTTTACTGTTTTAACTAACAAACTATTTTTTACTTCTTTACAGTAGTTCCCAACCTAAGGTTCAGGCCCCCCCAAAGGGTCTCAAAATAAGTATGGCGGTCATGAGATGATTTTGGACTTTTCTTTAATCTTCCGACAGAAATTTTGATAATAATTTTAACTCTCTGGGTCTCTTTGAGCAGTTGTATAGAGGAAACTATCTGAGCAGTTTAGAGGGGAAATCTCTCATTGGTGGAGCTGGTAACAACTCATCTAAAATGTAAGAAGTGGCCTCAAAATGTTTTGTACATTGCCACAAACCAAAAACATTGAAACTGATTTCAACTTCAACAATGGCTTGGGTTTTTTGTTTGCTTGTTTTGTATTCAAATGTGTATGTAAAATCTTTATCTAAGCACTAACCTGTAAATAATATATGTGGTAGAGTAAAAAGTAAAGTATTTCCCCCAAATTGTAGCACAGTAGAAATATAAAATTGCATAAAATGGACATACTCATAGGGCAGCACGGTGGTGTGGTGGTTAGCACTGTCACCTTGCAGCAAGAGGGTTCCCAGGAGGCAGCCCTTCTGTGCGGAGCTTACAAATTCTCTTCGTGTCGTGGGTTTTCTCTGGGTACTCTGGCTTCCTCCCACAGTCCAAAGACATGCAGGTTAGGTTGGTTACTCTAAATTGGCCGTAGGTGTGAATGTGAGTGTGAAAGGTTGTCTGTCTCTTTAGGCCCATTTCCACCGCAGGAACTTAGGGGTAATTTTACGGGGCCGGGCCCGGGGCCGCTGCTGCGTGTCTCCACCACAGGAACCACCCCCGAAGGACAGAGTTCCGGAACTTTTACAGGGGCTAAACAAGTCGGAGTAGGTACTCAGAACGGCCCCCGAGAAACTCCTGGCTGGGGCTTGGGGATTACTTGGTGCTGATTGGAGGCGGGATGTGACGGGATGTGACGTTTTTTAAATAACAACATGGTTATCATAGTTTAGCTAGGCTAACTGTTAGCTGTTAGCGGTGTCTGTAATAACTCAATAAACGGTCCATGAAAAAAATATTTTTTCCAGAGGATATCTTAGTTACAACATGATTGAACTAGCAAAGCAGTTTTGTGTTGATATGTGTGGTATTTATTCAGTTTTGGGAAATCACGATGTCAAGAAAGCATCAGCTAACAGCAGCAGCAAAGCTAACATCAGGACGTCATCTGTTAAAAGCCTCCGGTTGTCGGATACGACATGAAGCTACTCCAGTTAGCTCAATCATATTGTAACTAAGACATCCACTGGAAAAAATATTTTTTTCACGGACCGTGACCGGAGTTATTACAGACACCGCTAACAGCTAACGGTGTCCCTACGGCCCTACATCGCCCTGGTCAAAATGGTCCCGCACCAATTACGTCACATCCAGAGCCTGGTAACTTTACAGGAACCTTCCTCCTACTCCGCTCTCTCAGTGGAGACACGGCGATTGAGAGGGCCGAGCGAGAGGACGTTCCTGTAGTAGTTCCTGCCCCCCAAATAGTACCAGGAACTTCTTCAGTGGAAACGGGCCTTTTGTGTCAGCCATGTAATAGTCTGGCGACCTGTCCAGGGTGTATCCCGCCTCTCACCCAATCTCAGCTGGGATAGGCTTCAGCCCCCCCACGACCCCCAAGAGGATAAGCGGTTACGAAAATGGATGGATGGATATACATACTCATGTTCATGAACCTTAAAAGTGTACTCAGTGGTGGATGAAGTACCTGAAAGCCATACTTGAATAAAAGTACAGATTTCTTACCTTAAAATGATTTCGGTGAAATTTAAAGTCATTTATCAGAATATTTCTTGAGTAAAGTCTTACAGTGATTGACTCATACTGTACTGGTTTAAAGAACAAAATCCAGTTTTTCCTCCCCTCCCATTTCTTCATTTGTCCGTCTGTCCCTTACTCCTGTCTAACTTCCCTATTTTGTAGTAAGAAAGATGCTTAGAGAAAATGTACTGGAGTAAAAGTATGCATTAAAAACTCAAGTACAGATACGCCCAAAAAATACTTAAGAAACTGTTCAAAGTATTATTACTTTGATACATTATACCACAAAGTACAGTACTTGAGTTATTGTAATTCATTACTTTACACTGGACCTAGGTGTTACAGTCAACTATCAAATAGCCTACTAAAAGGTTTTGTTTTGTGTTTGGGAAATGTTTCATTTCCACAGTTTACTATAATTACACTGTATGTAAAAACCATTTTCCAGCATTCTAATGCGTATCATGTCTCCTGTCACTGACCTTCTATAAACCAACCTGTCTTAAAATACAAAACTTAATTACTGTAGGCTGATTTCATTATTGATGCTTCTGGATTTTCTGACATGTTTCAATATTGGTGAAGCTCACAGCCGCTTACACTGACACTGATCACAGTTAATTACTGAAGAAACTGCAACATTAAAGGCATGTGTTTTCTGCAGGCAGGCAGTCAGCTGAGGCAGTAAACTGATGAGGGGAATTGCTGTGACTGATTGCTACATCGCCAATTAATCAATGCCACACACACTACATCCATTCATCACTGTCATAATTCTTCTCCTGGAACATTGTCATCACTCTGCATCTGATGTCTGATTGGGTTAGAAACATCAATAGAAGTGTATGGAAACACATTTTACAAGCAGAGCTGTGTTAAACTCAATGAGATGTGTAAGTAGATCCATTCTTGCTTGCTGTTGCTCAAGTATTTCTGTATCGATTTTACTACATAACTCAGTCCACAATGTGTCTACTTTAGTTCAGTTAGTGTGTGAGTTTGCTTTTGCCAGGAGGATGTGATATTTTGTAAAACTCTCTTTTCCTCCCGGCAAGGACAGGCTCTGATCAGTAGCCTTTCATCTCTGGATTGCTGGTTGAGAGAAACAGGAAACTGACACTCCTCCAACCCTACCATTCTTAATGAAGTCATCCAGTAACAAAGTTAAGATCCCCCTGAGCCCCGATGAGTGTATGGATGGCTGCATACCATTGTACAATAGGCATAAAAAAGAGAATATCTCCCAGGAGGAGAGCCTATTGAAACCCCCAGAGATCCCAGAAAGTGAGCTCTCTGCTTTAGTATTCTAACAAGACGCAATTCAAGTGTCTTGGAAAGTGTCACCAAATGGCACTGCTGGGATTTTTCAAACACGAGTTCACACCCCAACAGGATGGTTGCTAAGCTTGTGCTAATTGAGAGCGTGCAACACAGATGCTCTCCTCCGGGTTAGGGGGAAAGCAGAGTGTGATGACGCAGGCTGTTTCCCACATTTTCTCTAAATAATCCTGGCGATCGTCAATAGAGCCATCATTTTTTGAAGGACGCTACACGCCCTCTGTCCACAGACTGTCTATGAAGAAGAGAAAATGATGAGGATTACAGATGAATTCGAATTTTATTACCATCAAAGTCATCAACTCAGTCAAGAAGAACGGTACAGAGCTCACAAATGCAAGACAGGACCTACAGGTGACCACTGGTCCTGGCAAACATCACATCTACAAATACACCTGTAAGTGCATGGCAAAATGAACAGACATGGAATACTAAATACAGTGAGAAATGTATTGGAAAAAAGCATTGCTTTAAACTGTGTAACAGTGTTTCAAACAGTATTTATTTGCCATCTAAACAAAGAGAACAGACTACATGAAATAATTTATTCACATAAAAATCTCTGATAATATGTTTAAGCCTCTCATTAAAATATTCATCTTAAACAATGTAAGAAATGATATAGTGATATAATCTGAATGATTGGTGTGTCTACCAATCTACCTTAGCACAAATTAAAAGGAGAAACATGTACAAATAAAAGACTCTGTGACAACAAAGTCAAACTTGAGATTCTACGGATTATAAATCAGTTTTCTCCAAAGCCCCTTTTTTTTTATCGGAAATGCACATTTTCATATAAATTCACAGGTGTTCACAGTTAACTCCTGACAACAGATTGGGAAGAGTCAGACAAAGTGGCCGTGCACGAGCCATAACATATTATACTTTTATTTTATCATCTAATAATCGCATCGACAATGTGGCTGCTGTCTTTATGCAGCCCCGTCTCCTAGAAATTAAGTTTATATACAACTAATTATGGTTTCTATCAACATTATGAGGAAATGTTGCTCATAAACGTATCTGGCAATTCGCTAAAATGCTCCGTCCTCTACTGAACTCTATTGGAAATATTCTCCTCCAATCCCAAGCACACATCTGCCCACTGAAATTTGCATAAATGTATCCAGCCAATCAGGACATGCCCACTCGAATATGTGCCAAGCCCCCAGTATACATAGGAAGAGTATCTGCTTTCCTTTTAAGTCTTCAGTTACAGCGACTGCTCACTGTCTGTTGACCTCTGCAAGGCTGGGCCATGGCTCCAATCACCTTGGTTGTTAACCACCTGAGTTGGCTAGGGCTCTCTACTTCCTCACTGAGGTGGCCTAGGTTACAAAGAAGTAGGCGGCTAACCTTTAGCTGGTCGGTATCAGTGTGGCTGGGTGGGTCAATGTTATGTCGCAACCAAATGTACCCATAGAGGGTGGGGCATGCGTGAGATAAAACAAAATTTACAACATTGTAACTGTAGTCTATGTAGTCTCCTATGCTGCTCGCTGAGGAGGGTGTAGGATAGTGGCTCCTATATATACTGTGGGCTCCGCACACATTCAGGTAGGCACGTCCCTATTGGCCAGCTACGTTTCTGCAAATTTCAGTGGATGAAAGTGTGCTCCATCAAAATAGGCAATCTTACAATACAGCATCCACTTGTTGTGACTTACTACCATTTAACATAATTAATTAAGCAGTTTAGTGACATATAAATGTAATTTCTAAGACACAGGGTTGCTTTATGTGACCAGGGGATGAAAACTCGAGATTCAGTAGCACAGGCAGTCGTGTGGGGACTCACAGGCCAGAAGAGCAAATATGATGTATTCACCCTTCCCCCAACACACACACACACACACACACACTTATCTGACAGCAGCCGTGTGTTTGTTGAGCAGCCCTGATGGGCCTGACAGCTGGCGAGGACTATAGACTTCTACTTACAGGGACATGGACTTTATTGAAAGGACACCAGGAATCACAGTTTCTGCAGCCGTTCGAATATTGCTCAATTTCCTCTAGAGTGATTACAGAGAACTCTGTCTGTAGCTCATTATTAATGCTCGAGGGGACCAGTGACAGGAAAGGAAAGATTGTTATTACTGTTTATCAAGCATAAGGAGGAAAATCTATGGAATAAACACATTAAAAAACAGCAACAAAACAGAAAGCAAAGAGATACGGCAATAAAAAATATAAATAAATAAATAAGTTAAGAAATGTCAGATATATGCTTTATACATTTTTCAGTTCAATACAGGTCAACAAAGCTGAATTGTTGAAGATGACCCTAGTTACCACAAAGTCAAAATAAAGCATATCTTCCCTTGAAAGCTGCATGTGGTCAGTTAATGCACATTTTGTTTTACAATTACAACCAAATATTAAGACATATGTGGCATTTTGAGTCGATATCTTAACAGAAAGGACATTGAACCAGAGCAGATACAAGTAGACCGATATACAGCAAAAATAAATGAGTAAATCAATAAATAAAACGCGATGAATAAAAATGTCATGAAGTTTCTAAAAAAGAAAAGCTACAAATTAATTTGGATGCATAGAACCGCTATGTGATGAAGACTGTTATTGTTTTCGTACAACTTACACTGACAGCAGGGGTGCTAAATGAAGGGTGGTACTAGACAGCATAATGTCTTGTGTGCTTTTGAAAAGAACATTAGCCTCGGCGTGGCTTATGGCAAGAGGCAAGGGTGCTGTGGCCTGTGATAATACGAAGTTTGGCGGCAACGCGTCTTTATCCACCAAGTGGCTGTAAATGTAAAATGAACAGCAGAAAGTGAGAATGCATGCTGTTTTGGCTACTTCTACAAAGGTCTCTATATACAGAATCTTTACACTTACAGCTATGAGGTTCTTTCCTGAGCAGGAAGTTAGCAAAGGAACATAGTGTCGGTGTGTGTGCTTATGTGTGAAGCTGCCAAGTTCAAAACACAGTACTGGGCGTAATAACTCCCAGTCACCAATCTCAGCATTGTTTGACGTACAATAACTGGTTAGTGTAGACAAGAACAGATAAGGACCATATTTCCCCTGTGGCAGGAATATGTGATCATCTCCATGTGCGAGAACCAGCACTTACTGAGTATCACGGTACAAGGTCAAAATTTCAGAAGCAAAACTTTTCTACTGATTCTAAGAACAAATACTTTTAATTGCAAGACTGGCAGAGAGAAGTTTCCCAAGTCGGCTCATTAAAACGGAATCAAAGCCATTTTCAGCACAATTATGTCTTCCTATATTCTCTTATCGCGAAGAGAAGACTAAGAAAGATGACTTTAGCTGTAAGCCACAGCTTGACAGCAAATCTGTTTTTGCCCCTAAAACTCAAGTGTGCAGAGATAGACTTGGTTTCTATAATCTGACACAAAATGCCGGAGGGTCAGTGAAAAAAGACACAATACATGTACAAAGAAAGCCAATGCAACGCAGCACTCAGGAAAGGTAGCACACAGCCTCCATGAGATGATACTAATGCTGCAAGTGAAAGAGAAGCAGAGTCAGTGTCACCATGCTAGCAGCTAATGTACAGTGTGCAGGAGTTGGTGGGGACTGCAGAGGTCACATGGGGAGGGGTGGTGGGGTCTAACCCTGCTCGTCCCCGGCCTCAGTGGCTGCATGGAGAGCAGCTGAAGCTTCTCCGTTACAACGCGATGTAGGCTCTGCCTCCTGTGGGGCAGGGCTCGGCTGCTGTGGCTCTGCAACCAAGGCTGCTGCCCCAGCTCCAGCCTCCGGCGCCGGTTGGCTTATCTCCGCCCCAGCAGGGAGCTCTGTGACGGCAGCAGGCACTTCCTCGGGTGTTGCGGCAGATGAGGGTGCAGAGGGGTTGGTGGCAGCCTGGGGAGCTGTGGTGTCTGCGGGGCTGGTTGCCCTCGAGTCCTTCTGCTCAGGTGCTCTCAGTCTCTTCATGATGGTGGTGACCCGCACAGCTTTCTGTAGGAGGAGAAAGAACAGACTGAAGTCAAACAGGTGCTGTAACCAGAAAACTTGCTCAGGGAACATCAACTCTTATTGAACTGCCTTAACTGTTATGCAACACTGCACTAGTATACTTCCACATTCAAGGACAACCGTTGTTCAACGTTGTGAAGAAGACCTTCCTGGAAGAGAGAACAAAAGGGCTTACCTTCCATTTAGCTCTGGCAAAGTTCTTTTCTATTTGTGCACACACATTTTCCTTGATGTTCTTATCTGAAGCTGCACCGCCAGAGATCCTGTTGTAGGAAATGGGAAAAATACAACTTCACAACAGAGCTTTATGCTTCCCCTATCTTTGAGTGCCATAGGCTGCTGCACACAATATTGCTCAATTTGTTGTTCATTTTATTGACTGGCAAACTTCTGCAGGAACTGTTTAACCTTTAAGGATTATTCTGATTATTTTTCAGCGTGGGCCTTTTCCCTCTTAGTTTTTGTCCCCGTGAGAAACGATGCATGTTCAAAATGTATAGTTTGCTGGAAGTGCCTCTGTCAGTAGCACCTAGGCAGTGCCAACAGTCAAACTGAGAAAGTGATTAACACGTGTCTTTTTAACAGTGGCATTGCCAAGAGGTGACCATCCCCGCCCAACTGAATCAAGATGCAGGGCTGCATTGGTGGAATATTCATTTTTATTAGCCATGTGAACAGCTTGGTAGGAAGTTTGTCTTTTCAGAATAAGGGCAAAAACTTTATTTTTTTGTGCATGTAAACATGATTTTAAGAGACATATCAAGCAAGAGTTAAAGTCTGCCCTGTTGCAGTTGGTTTGATCACATGAATACAGTCTGATCACACTGCTCTGGTTTAAATAGTCTGCACAATATATCAAAGCTCCATGGCTCACCATTCATGGTTTATAGCCTCCTGGGCTGTCAGTCTCTGGTCTTGATCCACCTCCATCAGACGAGCAACCAGACTCTTGGCTGTCAAGAGAAAAATCACACAGAAGAAACTCAACAAAAAAGGGTTTGTTCTCCTGATGGATATAAATATGATGTGTGAGGCCACTCTACGGGTAAGAAAGGAGGGACTCCTTTGATTTTGAAATGTTTACCCAGCGAGCTGTCATTGTGTTCATTCACAGTGTTGACTTTATCCTTAAAGCTACCTGAATCGGAGATTTCATCCCAGTATGGAGAGTCAAACTCATAATCGCCTGCCAGGATCTTTCGGAAAAGGTTCTTGTCATGGTTTTCATAATCATCGTCGTCAGTTTCATCATAGAAAGGAGGGTTGCCTGACAGCCTTAGGTAGCAAAGGAAAAAAGAACATCAGGAGTCAAAAAAATCTACATATTTAAACAAGGCCTACTATGTAATGTACAGTCTTTACCAATATCAGCTATCAGTCTGAAGCCACCAAGTGACTTTAAATAACATGTAGCACAGTGGTTCCCAACTGGTCCAGCCGTGGGGTCCAAAATTTCTCCTTGGTCATTAGTTCCAGGTCCACACAATTAAATACATCCAGCGTCATACTTGTGTTGGCCGTGTTGTCAAGCTAGTTTGCTGTCTCTGCCAAGTAGCTGTCTGTTATTCATTCACTCTACAACAGGAGACGGCACTTTAAAATGAAATCTCAAGGCAATTGAATCGAACGCAACTGGACTTGGTTTTGTCTTAGAAGACGTTTCACCTCTTATCCAAGAAGCTTCATCAGTTCATGCTTGTCTGACTAGGCTGGAACTAGTCTGACAAACTGGTGTGGAAGCACCCAGGTATTTAACCTCTGGGGAGGTCTTCACAAGGCCAATGATGTCACTGGTTCGTTAGTGCTCCAATGGTGTGTCAACGACAGTCGTTGAAACTCCTGCTGCAACGGTTGTCACTGGAGTCGTTAGAGTCACATGAGGCCATTTGTGAACGACCGTTGTTTTTAGAGGTTAAGTTGTTAAGCCTCCTGGGCAAGGATGAAAGGACAGCATTATAGGTCCTTTGTGACTCTAACGACTCCAGTGACAACCGTTGCAGCAGGAGTTTCACCGACTGTCGTTGACACACCATTGGAGCACTAACGAACCAGTGACATCATTGGCCTTGTGAAGACCTCCCCAGAGGTTAAATACCTGGGTGCTTCCACACCAGTTTGTCAGACTAGTTCCAGCCTAGTCAGACAAGCATGAACTGATGAAGCCTCTTGGATAAGAGGTGAAACGTCTTCTAAGACAAGACCAAGTCCAGTTGCGTTCGATTCAATTGCCTTGAGATAACTATGACCTGGATGAATGAGAATATCCACACTTTAAAATGAAAGCTCTGTGCCAGAAATTCACTGTACTTAAAAATAAAGTGTGTTTTATACAAACTTGACACATTTGCAAGTCACTTGAGTCCCACTTTTAGACAGAGACCCACCAGTTGGGAGCCAGTGATGTAGAGCATTAGGGAAAACAACCTTATCTTATGTTTAGAATACTGATCTCCTCTCTGTATGTTTTATGTCACAACTTACAGTATGTACATGATGACCCCTGTTGCCCAGCAGTCCACAGGCCGGCCATATCGCTGTCTGCCAACCACCTCTGGAGCTGCACACGGGTAGAGAAAAACATCATCAAAATCTCTGTGAGTCTGAAAGCCACAACAAGCTGCCAAATCCTATTCTCCACAATGTCTTATTTGCCACTTAGTAAATTTCTGTTCTCACCCAGGTACTCTGGCGTCCCACAGGGGTCTTTGATTAGTCCGTTCTCCAGCTTGGCAAGATGGAAGTCGCTGATGACTATTTTAGAGTGCTTCAGGCGGTTGTAGTAAACCAAGTTCTCCAACTATAAAGTAGCATATTACAATGAGAGCACTTAATATAATATTCATAATTACGGTCTTTGATTTTCAGAGTTAATCATCTGGTGACCGTTTAGGAGGTTGAATTTCAGTTGTGAGGTCATTTTCTGACAGAAATATAATGAGAAGACTGAAGACATCTAAAAGTTTAATTATCCACTGAAGAATAAAAGAAATAAAACGAGAGACATTCAGTGTAATTTTGTCATTGTAAAGTGATTGGACAAAAACGAAATACTTCAAACAAGTCTGACAATTAATGCATTAGTTTTCATGTAAGCTGACAGTCCCATCCCATCCCTCAGCAGCAAGGTGGAGAGGCTAATCCAGTTTTTGCCATTAATAGTAATCATATGACAATGACCTTTTCCTCCAACACTAGTTTGTCATCTTGAATCTGTACTGAGGGTTATATCTGCGTGAACCCTGTGACGTGGCAGTGCAGATCACAGTCAGGCGTGTCCTGCCCAGTGTGCTGGGGATGTGCCAAGCGTACTTTTGGCAAGCTCCCCTGGTGCACCATGTGGCACATTTGAATTTGGGGATTATAAAGAAAATATTATCCTATATTACAGGTATGTGTGTTAGAGGTTGTGACAGTCATGGCCAATAACATTTACTACTTCTACACGTGAGTGAATTATGAGATAAAGAGCCCCTGGGCAAAGATATGCAAAGGGCCCTGCTGCCTCTCCTGCACACGGGTATTCAGCTTCTATTTGTAGTCATTATGCATCTTCTTGTGGTTTTTTATTCTCTTTGTGATCATTTTGAGTCTCTTCCTGAGTGAAGTGAAGTCCAGGGGGCCCTGTGACACTGTGGGCCCCTAGGCCTGTTCAGTAATCCAACCGTACCTCTACACTACTACTATCAAGCTCCACGCAACATGACTCACTAACAGTTTATGAATTGTAGAGTGCTTTCCTCAGAGCAAACTAAGTGTTGTCTGTTATGTGCAGAGTTCCAAATGAATTCAGAATTCAGCAGCAGGACTGTGTCTCTTTTAAAACTGGATTCACTTTTTTAGACATGTTGAATATCCTACGGTCATTATGTTTTCCATATGTAATAGTAAGCAATGTTATGTCACTTTATTCATCACAATGATGCATGCAATATCCATCTGTGCTTTCAAAACCTCTTCAGTGGCATACAGTAAAATTAAAATTAAAAATATTTACGAGTCCCTTTATGTTTTATTTCTTTTATTTCTCAACTAATTTTTCATTCAGTTGGATTACACTGTTTCACTCGCCATAATAATTGCACTGGGAACAAAATAATTGCCTCTTTATTCTTCATATTACAACAACATAATTAGTGATAATGATCTACGAATAAATTAGGATTTTTGAAGAAACACTATTTTGTTCTTATTTCTGTTATTAGTGGAAAAGTCAAGAGATCACTAAAGTCAGATTCATTCTCTAGGGACCATGTATGTCTGTGTAAAATTCCATAGCAATTCATCCAATAGTTGTTGAGATATTACAGTCTGGACCAAAGTGGACTGACAGACAGACTGACATCGCCATCCATAAAAATGAAAATGAGCTCAGATATATCATGGCTAAAAATAACATAACGTAACTCTTCTGTCCGAACTTTACTGGAAGCGCTGTGTGAGCCATCATTGTCTGCCAGTTTATGATCTTAAATTAATAACCCTTCAGACAATAATTCCTTGCAGTATAATCAGATGAAACACACTGTTTAATAAAAATGCCAAACTCATGACATTGAAAAAGTGAAATTTTGGTCCAGCTAGTAAGAGATCTGTCAGCTGACAACAGCACACTTTACGCAGCCATCACAGTGTGACACCAGCACTGCTCCGTTGATCTAGACAATCGGCTGTGTGTAGTACAGGCAGGTTGTTTGGTTGAAGTGAAATTAATTTCATAGAGCGGAGTCTTGTGGATTCTACTGCAGAACAGTAGGATGGGTTTTGGTGGTTTTCAGATGGAAAGACATTTCTAACTATCTGCTAGAACTGGACTAAATTTAATTGTCTCACGTACTTCTTTCAGAATATAGTAAAAGTTTCAGCAATTTTGACGAAAAGTTATTATTATAAAATTTACCAACTGTATCTTTAAGAGTGAAATGTCTTGTTTACTTCTGCGTACAAGTCCTGCACTACTGTAGCTTGTTACCTTGAGGTTTCTGTGAACGATATGCAGGGAGTGGAGGTACGCGACAGCCTCCAACACCTGGCGCACCACGTTGCTGGTGTCCCGCTCTGAGTAGTAGCCTTGGTCCAGGATCCAGTCAAATACCTCTCTGCCTGTTGCACTGTGGAAGAGGAAGGTCCATAATGAGTAACATGTCTCAGCATATGAAGATTTGCACTGAAATGTTATCAGTTTAAATCTCACTGGGAACCTTTCTGTCATCCCCCACTCTCTTCCCATGTTTTCATCTGCTTTCTACTGCTACAGCTACCCAGGCAAAGGCAAGAAATAAAGAGATCTGGTGATATAGAGACATCTAATTGTAATTTTACATTGCATATTTATAATGAAATATTAATTATTCCAAGAACAACAGGGTTTTTTTTGTCAAGATTACTCAACACACCCCACCTGTCAAAAAGAAATGGTTTTAATAATTTCCCCACAGACATTTCTCTTGTGTTTCATCACTTTCTTTCTCACCAGAATTCCTAAACCCACAAATCAAGTGTCCTCGAAGGACAAGACGAGTATCTAGCATTTAGTATACCCATGGAAATGCATCAAATTCCCCAAGAACACATGCTGATGAGAATGGAGCAGCTAGCAGGCAATCATATCTGAATACCAAATGAGTGGAGTTCAGAGCTGTTCTCATATCTACAGGGCCTCAGGCTACAACAGCTCATTCCCCACGAGTGTATAATCAACATATACAGTTCAGCAGGCCCAAGCTACCGCAAAGACAGGCAGAGAGCCTTTTCCCCCAGCTCATCAGACATCTGAACTCACAGTTCAAGGAAGAGGAAGTACTCTTTTTTGGTCTCAAAGACGTCCACCAGTTGGAGAATATTGGGATGCTTCACCCTGAGGAGATGTGTCACAAAGCACAAGACAGAGAGAGAAACACAAAAAGAGACAGCGAGCGATGTCAGGAGTTGTATCGGAGATGATGTCTGCTCATGAATAACACACTGCAGTCTTCACAGAGCTGGAGAGAGGCAGCGTGATCAGTTAACTTTACTTCACAACACTGAGATTTACATGTTCAGCTGCCCATCCATAAATAACCAGATGTCTGTAATCTGATGCATCCATGTGGGCATAAAAACAACCAGCATGGTGATGAGCAGCTCCACAACCACAGCACAAGCCATCAAGGTACAATATTTGATGCTACAGAGTGTTTGCTTGTCAATTCTGCAGGAAGTTGGGAAAAAACCTTGTCTTGCTTTCACGATTATTCCTGAATATGTAACAGTGTCCGAATAAAGCTGGGTCTGTGAAATTGGTTCGTTATTCATACAGGAGTCACTAAGTTACTTAGTGAATGGAAAACTGAGATTTGGACACTTACGCATCATTATCATTTTGTGTCACCACTGACAGGTGCAGTGTTGCATAACTGTAATTTACATGTCTGTTACATCAGGAGCCAAGGACAAGCATTGCATTATGGGATTTTTCACAAATAGTAGTGCATGTCCTTTCAACAAAATTTGGACACGGAAATAAAATGGCAGAAAGTAAATGTAGTTCGGGCGGTAGCAAATGGGGAGAGATTTTGGACATACATTAAATGGATGGTGAATGGTAAATGGACTTGCACTTGTATAGTACCTCTCTAGTCCTCATACCACTCAAAATGCTTTTACACTACTTGTCACATTCATGTAGTGCGTTCACTCACACATTCGTACACTGGTGGCCGAGGCTACCTACACGGCGCCAACTCCTACTCAGTTAACCATTTACATGCTCTTACACACTGACAGGCGCAATCTGGGGTTCAGTATCTTGCCCAAGGACACTTTGACATGTCACTGTTCATTTCAGCTGTTCAGAGTTATTTTATTAACACCGTAGTATGCTAGTATGTGTAGCATGCTAGCGTAATAACCTATGTCATATGACGTCATGTGGTGTTACATTACGTTAGTAAGACCCATCCTTATTTTAAGCCAAACCATGATGTTTTCTCTAAAGTTAACCAGGGACTTTTGTTGCCTAAACTTAAGTAAAAAAAAAAAACGCAAAAATGAAGTGTTTTACCTACATTGTAAGTTTATTTTGAAAAAGACTATATCCATGTAACATACATAAACTGTACATTTCCTTTGAAAACAGAAATGTATTTTGAAAAGACACAATGCATGTTACAAGCATCAAATTAGGCGTCATCTATTAGCATCTAAAACCAAAGCAGTAGGGTACCTAACGCGTCATATTTTGATGTTTAGGTCCACAATGTGTCGGTGTTTCACGAGTTGGGATGAGAACACGTTGGCTCTACTGGCTGACCCACAGTATCTTTGCTTACCACAGCTTTATGTGGACAATAATATTGTTTCTTGACAACAAATCAGGGGTAATTATCTGCCACCACCTGTTGTTGTAATAGAAAGATGAGGAGCATCATTTTTGCATACTCAGAAATTTGAGTGTACTGCATGCATTGGCAAGCATCTGTTATAAAAACTTTTTATACTTTCCCTAAGGATTGGTCTGTTAATTTATGTGTTGCCAGAATAAAAACAAAACTTGCACATGATTTTTTTCGCATGCCAGCAAAATTGAATCAATATATTGATTTATTGACTGACTCTGGACCAGGTTTAACAACAGCAAAACTATATCAAAACATCTGTTTACAAACTCTCACACAACTCGTGCATAGCACCAAAGTTGGGTATAATGCGTTACAAAGTACTTTGATTAGTTTTTGCAGTAACGAGTAACCTAACGCGTTAGTTTGCTGTTTGAGTAATCAAATACTTCAGTACATTGTCAAACAAGACATCAGTTTCTTCCGTTACTTTTAGAATGCTGGTCCTTCAGCTCCAAAACAGCAACGGCTGTCGCTTGGTTCTAATAACGGAGATAACGTTAAACCTATCAGTCTGAAAGAAGCCACAGAGCTTGTGGCTCACTACGTGGTCGGAGAAATGCTGCCGTTGTCTACGGTGGAGTCTAAATAGGTGGAGTAGGACTTGCTGACAGACAGGTCAGACTCAGGACTTGCATTATGCCTGGTACACGCTACACGCTGGTACTCACCAATTATCCCCGGCCGTCTTTCACGGCGTGTGTGATGTCATCGGGTTATTCTTGTCCTATTTTTATCACTTTCACTATTATTTGAGTCACTGTCTGTTCATGTGCCAACTGACATGTTGTTGTAGTCACCTAAAAGCGTCAGCAGATGGCAGGAGCTACATTTGAAGCGCCATACGTAAAAGGATGCACCATTGTTTGCTAGCTTGATGCTAATGACAATAACGTTAACTCAGCGGGTTGACAAAGTGCCTCTGCTGTTTCACACCATCATTTCCCCCTTTTACTCTGTGTGGTAACATCCCTAGAGGAAATATTAAAAACGCTGGGGTGTTGTTGTCATAAAGTTGTCTACGGCAGCAGATCGTTCTGTGTTTCTACTGGTCAAAGTGACGGCTGTGATGGGAGAATTGGATCTCAGTGAAGGGCAAGTGGTCCATAACTTTAATTTTGGAGACAAAAAAATGTAGGCTTAGCACCCTGTGGTCCATTGCCCAATAGGAAATGTAGAATACTCAAAAGTACTTTAAAAGTGCTTGAGTTACTTTTCTCAAGGAGTAATGTTGGAAGTACTTTTAAAGTAATTGAGTTACTTTACTCAGGGAGTAACGCAGTAAAGTAACTGGTTACTTTTTAAAAAGTAACACAGTAACGTACTTTGATTACTTTTAAAGTAACCCTTACCCAACACTGATCAGTACTACCCAAAGACATGTACTTCTACTAAAAAGTTGTTATCTAAAATTTCAAGTGAAACTTGTGTTTTTGCAGCCAGACTCCAATACTAAGGTTTTTTTCCGCAAATATGCATGTGTTTGGGGAGTACTAAGGATATGACTGGATAAATGAGACTTGGATTAATATGCACATGTTGTGGGAGAGTTTATAATCAGGTGTTTTGATATAGTTTTGCTGGTTTTCCTCACAAATTCATAGTACTACGCCATGACTTATTCATATGCAAATGGTAATTTTGTTGGTGAAGTATTGCGTTGAGACATGAAAATCCTCGGCGTCGGGAAAAAAAGTGTCTCATATTATTTTCCACAAAAAAGTTCAATTACTTCATTAAATATTCTCAAAATTATGTGCTTTACTATGCATATCTATGAATTCAATTCAGATTTAAGTAGAGCCCAGAAAAACCTCTCTCATCAGCAGATAAACATGAAAACAGCTTCCCAGTGTCAAATTCAGCACATGCACAACATCCAGATGAACGATAAGTTAAGAGAGGGGGGTAACTTTAAATCAGTGATAAGAAAAACTCAGCAGATGAGGAACCAAATCGTACAAATGACTGACAGTTTGCAGGATTTTTTTGGTTCATTCTGAGTAACAACAATAAAAAATGTATCGAGATTAATACTTGAATAAGCACCTCTTTTCTAATGTCTATATTCAAGCATTTTATATTCAATACTGCATTTGATGTTTTGCCCGCAATTATTTTCAGCCTTTGACATGTCATCATATCTGATTATTCACTCAAACCCCCCACTGATGATTAAACCATTAAAAACAGGAGCAGTTCAGAGGTGTCTGAAGTGTAATTTTCAGAGGAATATGAGTTCATGTCTTGAAAGACTTCTTATAAAGAAATCACACTTTAGTATTCATCCTGCTCCACTGCCTCTGCTGTCAGCGACAAATTGTTTGATAAGGGCCAGGTTATGCTAATGTGGGTTTTACCTGAAAGTTAGATAATCACAGAGAAGTTGAGATAAACAAGGCTCTTAGAAAGAGCTGCTGCGTGTGATCGCTCAGCAAAATGAGGTTTGTTTGCATTTCCTTATTAAAGCGAGCACCACAATTTGTTTTCCCTTTTGTATTTTTGTTTCAAAAACTGTCTGTGAAATTTGTGTTTAAGAAGATAAACAGGGAAAACAAAAAAGCAAAGAACCTGACAGTCTCATCACAAAACTGATCATGCACTATTTACCACAGAAATTGACACTCCAGAGAACATTAACCATGATGAATAACTTACATCTTTAAGATAAGGATCTCATTTTTCGCAGCCTTGCGAACTTTTCTTCCATCCTTTTTCAGGAACTTTTTACATGTATACATTTTCATCGTAGTTTTGTCCTTGGCCCTGAATATCTCACAGAACTCCTCCCTGAAAACAAAAAAAGGCATTTGAGGTTTATTTACAGGGATAGAAACACAGATCAAAAGTCAGGAAGCAGTTGAGATACTCACGATTTGACAATCTGACCCAGGTCATATTTATCTGTCACATCCGAAGGATTGTTATAATCCTTCTTCTCCCCGATTGTTAAACAGCCAAATGGCATGGCCACTCCTGACCTGTGGGTAGAGACAGAAGAGGGAGAGAGTGAAATGAATAATAACTCTTACATCAGTGTATCAGGGTGTTGTGTCCTGGCGTCCCACCTAGCTGATAATTTCTCTACAATTTGGCGTCACACTGTGCCATAATATTACACTCCATGATGACTTGGCAAAAAACACGGCCCTCCCTCAGACATAAAGAATTGCTCCAGTAATGCTGAGGAAGCCTTTCAAAAGTTAAAGCTAAGGAGCCACCAGAGGCGGTATCATTGCAGTGCATTGTTTGACTCACTGTAACAGAGCCTTTCATGATCTAGCAATTTTTAAGGGCAGAGCCATAGAGGAGTCTGCTGCACAGGCTCAGCTTCATGCTAATATCTTACTTATGTAAGTAATAAAACAGTGAGGGGAATGTTTTTTGCTGTGAAGCAAAAGTTTGGACTGGATGTGCCATTGCTTCTCTGTGGGGTGAAAGTTGCAAACCATAGGGGTCAGGGAGCCCGAGTAAAGCAGCTAATATGGTCCAAGAGCCCAGGGAGGCAACCACAGCAACATGTGAGGCTCTTCCAATCAAGAATAGGAGCCAGTAATTACAGACACAGCACCCCAGGACTCTGAGAGGATTTAAAGTACTTTACTCGCTTTGCACCAACACTTTAACACCTAATTGTGCAGCCTCACTGTGTGTCTCTCAGATAGCATGGAGTGAAATTTGAGACCAAGAATTAAAGGTTTTATATTCAGCTTGGTTGGAGTCGTTATTTTTGTGTTTCAAGGGAAAGGAAAAGTTTCTTTATTTTTGTTTTCCTGTCCCTGTGCTGTAGAGTCCAGAACAGAGACAACAAAACAAGCAGGCAAGTAGCAGTTTTTGGAGTGTGCAACAATAAAACATTAATGGTTACCTGCAGTGTGTATTTGTGTGTGTATGTGTTTGGGTAAAACCTTGAATCTTGTCCATATACTATAGCTGGAAAATTCCACATACTTTGTTTTGTGGTCGATTGAAAAAGATGTTTGTGAATAGCTCCATTTTTTTCTCAAAGTATTCGTTCAAAATTTGTCACTAGAGAAATATATTCACATTCCTTTACTGAAGGGGGCGATGTCTACGCACTTCCCTAAAATCTGAGATTCAAACAAACACCAGACAAGCTAGATACTACGTAGATTAGGCAAGTCACTGAAAGGAAAGTCAATCACTATCTAATATGGAAAAACACTATCCAACAGGAGAACAAAAGTCATCACAACCCCGACAAAGAAACCTGAAACCTTCTGGGGCAGAGCAGTCTGGTCAGCATCAATGACTGTATGGACGGCATGACAGCTCCGTAAAAGTGAAACCAAATATCTTGGTCGCCCCCTGGTGGCTGGCTGCAGTACAGCCCATAAACCCCTCCCCCTTTATGTTAGTGGATGGGAGATGGGCCAAACTAAAATATCAAACCACATGCCAAATAAATTGTTCCAAATATACAATGCCAGAGAGCAAATCTTGAGCTATTTCTTTAGCTACTTCCAGTGAAGAGGTTTAAACTTTGACATTTCTTTCGCGTATCTGCACAGCAATTTTTTTCAGGCTCTACAGTACACATCATTTTTGTTTCATTAATAGATTTAAGTCTGATCTCAAACACACTTACTGTTTAACTAATCACACTTAACATCACACACGTCATCATTAGATCAGTAGGGTTGGGAGACACTGATAAACTCATGCAATCTTGCAACTGAAAAATCATTTATAGATAACTGTCTGTTTTTGGCTAATTCAGTGCATTTTAATACCTGACAAATGAAGGTACTTTATCACACTGACACAACAACCCTGCATATCCAGCAATGCCATATATATAAAACAGACCTGCTCACTGATACAATACTGTCTACAATGGCCTAATACTACTACTACATATTCAAGTGATATTCATCTTGGTACAGATTGCTAAATCTTTTTACACCTCTCTTGACAAGAGCATCTTAATATTGTCCAACCTTCATCATCATGAGATTCAACACCAAACAAAAAGGTGATTTATTACTGAATGCTCTCGCAATAGCTGGCATCTGAATGTGAGTAAATTGTTTTGGAAGGAAATCGGTTGCAAAAATGAAACAAGGCAGAAAGAAAAAAAAAAACATGTGTGATCTGTTACAACAAGGGAGTGTGTGATTAAATGTTCTTCTGGTTCAAATCCCTGGACAGATTTGGAAAAACTGGAGGGAAAACAGTTGTTGCATCTCTCAACCACTACCACTAATGTGTCCTTGTAAAAGGCACTAAGCCAGTAACGTCACTCAGGGGCCGACAGTACAACACTGCAGCCTCACTGACGGGCTCTGAAATGGTGTAAATATCTATATGTGAAGCTGCGTGAAGGTAAAGCAGTTCAGCTCAGCGTGCTGAACGACTGCACAGCAACATTTATCCAGATGAATAAAGGGTAAAAAATATTTATTTCCCAAGCACACAACATCCATCTGCGCCAACAGTTTGGGTGATGGATGTCAACATGTAAATGAGAGCAGCCAGTATAAGAAGTATAGCATTATGTGTAAGAAGGGCAATCTGTTCACTGTAGCTCCACGAACCGACTTGTAATCCAGTCTAAATGAATGAGGCTCAGCACAGAGACGTCTCAAATTGCCAAGAGAAAACCGTGCTCTCTCTGAACTTCCCTTTCTCATCTGATACTGTGTTGTGTAGTCAGTGTGAGGAGAGGGGCTGACCTTTCCTGGCTGTGCTCTCACTCTTAATATACTGTACATGTCTGTCTGTGGTAAGTGCATTGGCTCAGTGAAGTTATGCAGCAAAGAAGAAAGGAAGGTTCTGCAGGGCCAGTGGCTTAAATGGAGGTAATTCTGAGTAAGTCTGGCAGAAGCAAGGCATTAGGAAGCCTGTCAGGAAAAATCTATATCACACTAGAAAACATTTATATTCTGCAAGTAGCTATAACAGTCCACAAGAGAGTCATTGCATTGTGGAGAGGGGGGAAATAGGCTGAGGGAAAAGAAAGTGAAAGAGCCCTTCTAATGATGATGAAATCTAATAAATCTAATGAAGAAATCCAGCTGATAACAGAGCCTTTGTGGTTTTGGAAAAGCTTTCTGAGCCCACTCAGTGGAGACCTTTATTTTACAGGTTCATGAAGAATCTATATAAAATAAGAAGCAGACGATGGAGACACGAACATTCACACAGAGATCCAAAGCCAGATTAGTTCATCAGAAATCTAAAAGTGCAGAGTATCTGTCAGCCGCTCCCTTTTCTTTTTTTTAAAAAAAAAAGTGTGACTTGCTGTAATGGATGAAGAATTTGCGAAGCATTTCAAGTGGAAAGAGCAGGATGCTGGCAGGATCGTATAACAGAGGCTCTGCATAATGGGCCCATTTGGGCTGACCACCATCAGCAACATTCAAGCATTATCACCCCATATTCTGACTGTTATCTGCCCTGCGAGAGCACCAATCGATGGCCCGCGGTGCTTTATGGCCCAGTGTGTGACCTGGGTCTGCCAGTTGGGCCGGCTTAGGCCACTGTGCTCTATCACCACTGATTTTCTGCAGATGCAGGGAAGATTTACAGGACGGGAGATGAATAGTGATAAAGATCTTGGGCTTAATAGACGAGCGCAGCGTCTCCTCCAGCCAGGCGAGCTGATGAGCAAATGAGGTTTTCCTTGTGTCCGTTGAAATCGATGAGAAATTCCTGTCGGGCTTGTGTCTGGGTGAAGCTCAGGATTAGGCTGAATGCAGTGCTTATGTGCACTGTGTCAAGACTTTTTAACGCAGCAGTAAAGGGGATTATTTTACCTGCTGCTATGGTGTAATGTTGGGCTACACCTCGGAGAAGTTACTGGTATCTGTTTGGTATGGTAAGCCTTTAGTTAGCAGCTGTTTGAACTAATCCCACCATGAAATACTTCTGAGGCAGAGAAGTGGTTCCCTGTTTTTTTGGAAATCTTTCATTTACTGGTTTAGTTTCTGGCTCAGCAGCTACTAAATGAGGATGCACAGGGCAGATCAGACCCCATGTATCACAGTTGTGCTGACTGTAAGCCATTACAGATTCACTGAAGTGAACCTAAGCAGTGCTGAGCCTCAACAGTTATGTACAAACTATATTTTACATACAACATTCACCAGAGCAGGATAAAAAATGCGATCAAATAAAATATGCTGTAGTAATTGTACAGCACATCATTTTGATGGATGACCAGTTTTCACTTCATGTTCTTCATCCTAAGGTACCACTGAGTGCGGGACAGCCCTTGTTAAACGAGTGTTCACACAATGCTGCCTGAGCCTACTGCCAGAGGGAAAGCTCTCTGTATTTCCCAGTAGTCCAGAGTTTTGTTGTTTGCGGTCTTTGCCAACTTTCCCACGCAGGTGCACAGGAAGTTTGTTTTGGTTGGCACTGCTTTTTTTCCACAATGCTTCGTATGTTTTTTTTATCTGTCTATGCTGACAGTTTGAAATTATTATAATTCGGTGGAAGCTATATCTGAATAACCTATAAGCACTGAAGAAAAGTTTCTGAAGTGGATATTCCAGATAAAAAAAGAAACTCAGCATTAAGAGGAAGGATTAAATTAAAAAAAAAGACTTGAAGAGAGCACCCCTGGGGGCATGGGAGATGCAGCAAGTTCACCTTCATTCTTTACAAGCATGCGTAGACAATGTTAATGCAATTACTGCCACTACCAAAGGAGGGAGACAAAAGCTCCGCACTCCAGCTTTAAGTGAAAACCTCAGACTAATTTGCCTTGATAAATGCATTTTGAAGGACTGACGCTGCTTGGGTTCCAATCGAGATAGTGTGATGATGATATGATAGCCAGCCTCCTGCCTGTTGGGTAAAGTTGGTTAAAGCAGCTGTGCGGAACTTTACGTTTTCGTTGACTATAGTGCCCTCTTTGGTTGAAGCGGTATGACACCCACAGCCTGGTGTCACAAAATTCTGACTGCAGCCGGCATTCAGCTTCATTCGTAAAAAAATGATAAATGTTCTGGTG